AAGTGTCTAAATGTTTCCCACTTTTTTCTGCCTGCAGCATACAGGCAGAGCTGGGTGCCATTAGCAGGAGCATTTTTCTCTTCCAGCCTTTTATGCCTGACCATCCTCCTGGGAGGTGGAGGGAACAGACGCATTGGGCATGGATAGCTGCAGACTTGGGATCTTTGGATAAGCACATGCTTCCCACCCTGTGTGCTGGCCAGAGCAGAACATTTTGAGGGGGGTGAGTTTGCTCTTATGCACCAGCCAAGCACAAAACCCATGAAAGGAGGAGCCTTCTTAAAGATGTACAGGAATCTTCCTTTTACACAGTCTGGTTTCTAATAGCAACAAGGGCCCTCATAGGAATCAGACACTTCATTTGTCACATAACTGTCATTTCTTAAGCATCATTGTCTTGGTCTACACTGGAAAGTCTGGCTGGCATAGTTATGTCAGTTAGGCCATGGCTCTCAACCTTTCCTGGCTACTGTACCCCTTTCAGGAGTCTGATTTGTCTTGCGTACCCCCCACATTTCACCTCACTTAAACTACTTGCTTACAAAATCAGGCATAAAAATACAAAAGTGTCACAGCACACTATTACTGAAAAATTGCTTATTCTCATTTGTACTATATAGTTATAAATCATTTGGAATATAAATATTCTACTTACGTTTCAGTGTATAGTATATAGAGCAGTATAAACAAGTCATTGTCTATCTGAAATTTTAGATTGTACTGGCTTCGCGCGTGCTTTTTACGTAGCCTGTTGTAAAACTAGGCACACATCTAGATGAGTTGAGTACCCCCTGGAAGCCCTCTGCATACCCCCCAGGGATCCATGTGCGCCTAGTTGAGAACCACTGAGTTATGCCATGTCTAGACTACAGAATTCTCGACCTAACTTACATCTGCCTAAAGCCACTGCAGGTATTAAATTGCTTGTGTGTGTGTGTACAATTGGGTCCTTGTGTCGGTGGTGTATGTCCTCACCAGGAGTGCTTGTATCGATTGTATTGCCATTGTGGGACAGTTCCTAAAAGCCAGTAACAGTTGACATAAGCAACACAGTGTTACACTGACACTGCGTCAACCCAATTACATTGACTGTGCCTCTGCGTCGCTCAGGGAGGTGGTGTTACTAAATCGGTGTAGAGGGGCACTTATGTCTGGGGGAGCCAAATTTAAGCGAAGACCCTTCCACAGCTAGGTTGACACAAGGCAGCTTATGTCGATCTAACCCTGTACTGTACACCAGGCCTTAGGAGTGTGACCCTGTCCCTGCAACAGGCATAGTTGTGCTGGCAGAAGCCCTAGTACAGACACAGGGTAGGTCTACACTTAAAATACTACATCGGCACAGCTGCGCCACTGTAATGCTTTAATGAAAATGCTCTGTGCTGAGGGGGAAAGAGTTCTCCCATCAGCATAGTTAATCCGCCTTTCTGAGAGGCTTCATGAGAAGCCCTCCTGCTGACATAGCGCTGTCTACACTGGGGGTTAGGTCAGTATAATTATGTCGCTCAGGGGTGTGAAAGTCTGTAGTGTAGACCAGACCACAGTTATACTGGCAAAAAGGCAATGTGCTAGTGTAGCCTTGGCTATGTCTACACTGGAAAGGCTACAGTGGCACAGCTGGAGCGACAACAGGTTCGATTGCTGTAGTAGATCCATCTCTGAGAGGTGGGTAGGTAGCTAGGTCGATGGAAGAACTCTGTTGACCCAGTGCTGCCTATGCTGGAGCGTAGGTTGGATTAACTGTGTCTCTTAGGGGTGTGAGTTTTTTTCATAGGCCTGAGTGATTAGCCAGGTTGACCTAACTTTATAGTGCAGACCAGCCCTTAGGATCTGTCTACGCTTCAAGCAGAGGTCTGACTGCCACACGTGTAGACATACCTAAACTAGCTTTAGGACTTGTCTTTGCTGAGAACTTACATTGGCAGAGCAACGTCCTTCAAGGGTGTGAGAAGTCCCCCTGAGAGATGTAGCTATGTCAACCTAACCCAAAGTGTAGACAGTACTAGGTCGCTGGAAGAATTCTTCTGTCGACCTAGCTGTCCCGTCTCGGGGAGGTGGAGCGCCTGCGCTGACAGGAGAACCTTTCAGTCGGTGTAGGTAGTGTCGATGCTACAGAGGCGCCACTGCAGCAATTGAAGTGTAGACATACCCTCAATCTAGCCAATTTGGGTACCAAAGCTAGTTCAGGTACGTCTACACATGCTGTAGTCACACCTATGATTGTGGTGTAGGCACGCTCTTGAACACAATAGACTAGATTCCTCCTTGTTGTAACCGCTCAGGTCACGGGTTACACTAGAAAGGAATGTGGTGCAGTAGTTCTATAAAGAAACCACTAGAATGTGCCTGCACTGTTTTTACAGCACAGCTTGTACTCAGCAAACTTCTGTTAGTCAGGTCTGGTTGCTTACATACTAACAGCAGCCAGTAGATTTTTCACGTGCATACACACACCCCTCACCTAAAGTCTTCCCTTCCTGGGAAGTCATGCAGCAGGAGAGGTAGTCTCTCAAGTAGCTAGGGAGAGTTCCATGGTGGGCTTTCCATCTCAAGATGGAGACTGTGGGACCTGGATTCTGTACTGAATGAGGAAAGCACTGGTGAGATGGGTTCAGAGGGGTCTGCACTGCTAAGCAGAGGAGCTCCTATGCTTTGTACCGTTGAGGCTTTTTCAGGGTGAGTGGCTTAAATCCCAAGGAGGAGTTACAGTAATTTGAGCTTGGAGGTTGCAAATGCCTAGATCACTGTGGGCAGGTCCAAGTCTTCCAGAATGCTGTGGAATTGTGTGACAAGGCCAAGATGGAAGTGTGTATGTTTTTGTGTGGCATATGTGGGACTGTAGCAATTCAAGTATCTGGTAATACTGAGGAGTTGAGTCTAAAAGGATTCAATGAGTGATTCAAGTCCATAAGCAATAGCATGGCCCTACTTAATGCAAAGGGTAATACCTGCAAGATAGGAGCAAAAAATCTAGAATTGCCCAACACCTCTGAACCCTCAAAGTGTGAGCTCCAAAGAAAGAGTGAGCTAATACTTAGATGAGAAATGGCAGGCAGCATGAACTAAGTGGCCTCATTCACTGCTTGCAACTTCCTGGTTTATTGGCACAATAGATTATAAACCCCCCCTCCCACCATGCCCTTTCAGTATATGAAAGTTGCTATTCTACTGTTTGTTTTTCTCTCCTCTTCCTCCCTTCCCTTTGTCCTTCTTCCCCAGCACGCACGTGCACACACCCACGCACCCACACCCATACTCTGTGCCTCCTGGCCAGCGTCCTGGTGTGATGCCCCTAGCAATTTGCTTCACCACATACTGAGTTCCTCTATAAAGTGACGAAGTTCTATGAATGTTGCTATTGCTATAGTGACCCCCCCTTCCTGTCCTTTTTAGCTAGGTTTATAGAAAAGACCTTAATGAATGGTTTAAAAAAAATGTGTTTTGAATTGCTGTAGCTGTTAAAATGTTAATTTATTGGAAGGGAGAGCTCTTTAAATCTCCAAGGAGAAGAAATTAAGGATAAAAATGGTGAAATAATATCTGGAACTATAGATCTTTCCTCACTCAAAGAGCCAGTTACTGCTGCAATCCTTTACCCAAGTGATTGGCGTTCCCAAGAGCTTAGTACTATCTCTAGAACTTAACTGTTTTTGTTGGGCCTTAAGGAAAAGTACTTAATGAATCGCATAGAAAATATCTACATTAAGAAAAGTTAAGGGTGCATAGTCAGACACTCAAGCTGGGAAACATCCTAATTAAGGTTTCCTGTGTAACCCTAATTCTGCCCACTTGTGTGCTTGGATTGCGATATGCTCTTAATGGGATGTGATCACAAAATTTCCACAGGACTCCTCTCTCATTCGGGGGGCAGGATGGATGGTGCTTGGGGAATGATGCAACTGTACAGTATTTTTCAGTTTGTGGCCTCATGCTTTACTTACTGCACCCTGTCCAAGCTGCACTGAATATGGAACTGTTTGTTTTCTCATGGGCTTTTCCATGGCACTCATCACTATAGTAACCAGCTGCTTCACAAAGATTAATGAAATTATTTTTGCAGTGCCCATGAGTTTTTAGAAAGGTATTGTCCCAATTTTACAGATGGGGAGCTGAGACATGGATATCTAGGCCAAAATTAAGGGTCTACTAATATTGGGTGCCTCACTAAAGATGCTTAGGTTTGAGATATAGATATATATATTTTCCCCTTCTTCAAAAGCTGCTCAGCCCTCTCCATTCTTGTTGATTTCACTTGAAGAGCTCAGCATATCTGAAAACCAGACCTTAGGTGTTCCAAGATGAGCATCCAGAAAACAAGGAACCAACAGTTAGTTGAAGATTTTTGAGATAAGTAATTTGTCCAGCAAGTAAAAAGCTTGTGACACAGCCAAAGAGAACAGAATTCAGGCAGGTGCATATCCTTTCTCTTTTTGCAGTCCCCTTGCCACTTTACTAATCACCTTTTAACTTCAGCTGCAAATCACAATAGTCCTATAAACAACTACCTGATTTGCCATCCATCCTATTCATGAAATGAAGCAGGAGTCCTTTGTGGTTATTAAAACAAACAAATGGTGATTGTCCCTAAAGACTGCGTATTGTGATACATGAGCAAAGGGACAGAATTAGGTTATATGAGCAAGACTAAATTAAATATCTTTGCTGGTTGAAACCCTCAGCTGTTTCTGGCCATGAAGAATGCAGTCTTATGGACTGATTCTTGCAAGAGCCTAATGGGAAAGTATTAGAACAGGATACCATGTGGTTCTTTTTTGTTGCTTGCATGTTTTTTAAATATAACTAACTCTTTCCCCAAGTTCTGTACAGGGGATGTGAAGTCCGTTACTGGGCAATAGGTGAATGATATGGGTAATAAGTAACCATTAGCCTCCTCCCTGTTTAGACTCAAAGCAGCTGAATTTTATATCCTCTGTTGTAGACTAGAAAGTGGGGCAAGGCCCATGTGTGAAATGTCTTCAGGACCTATTTTTATTTTTCAGTGGATGAATACATTGCCATTGCTAAAGAGAAACATGGATACAACATGGAACAGGTAACGAAAACGATTATTTGCATTTCTGTATTTAAACTGACCTTTTTTTCCCAGTAGGTACTAGAACCTGATTTAAAGCAAACTGCCACACTGCAAACTTTCTTCCTTCCACTCATCCAGCATAGTAATACATTTCTTTTCTGAGGACATGCAGTTCATCCTAATTTATTAATGATAGTCACTAAAACGCCCAAATTTCAGTGTTTTGATGCACACCTCCCATTGATTTTCAGAGGTATTTGGCCTTGTGTTGCAGTCTGATCTATGTCTATGTTGGTAAAATTCTGGTCTCATTGCAGCCCATGACAAGGCTCTCCTTTACTTGAGTGAGGCCCAGATTTCACTCTGGCTTTTTCGGTCTCCTGCTTAAGATGCATCTCGACAAACACTTGGACAGTTGGGTAGCTTCATGCACCTGAGAAGTTCTTCTGAATTAAGTGGGACGTCTCATGTGCATTAAGTTATGTGGTGGGGAGGAGGGATGGGTTCTGCTGGTTTATTATATTGGGAATAAAGGTATTGTCTCTACTGGAGGACTTTGACTTGAGAATTAGAGAAATTATGTCCTTGCAAGAGCAATGGGACTGAAGAGTGAGTGATTAAGAGGGGAAGAGGTTTTAGTCAGATGACCAAACCCTCATTTTTGTGTTAGCCATTGAAAGTGTAGGTCTTAAACATTCTTGAGAAGAGACATCTTAAAGTTCTTCTTCGAGTACTTGCTCATGTGTATTCCACAGTAGGTGTGCGTGCACGCCACATGCACCGGTGCCGGAAGTTTTTCCCTTAGCAGTACCCGTAAGGGGGGGAGCACCTCTGCGACCCCTGGAGTGGTGCCTCTATATCGCGCTATAAGGGGGACCGCGAGCTCCCCCACCCTCAGTTCCTTCTTGCCACCAGAGAAGGTGCGTCGGAAATTCTTGCTCCAGCGTTCCTGCAGCCTTTCCAGTTGATCTTAGTGGTACCTTTAGCTAGTTGTTAGTAACTCATGGAAAGTAGTTTCTCAGTTGTTAGAGTGGGCCCAGGGCATGCCCCATGCCCCAGGCTTAAAGTCATGCGACTCCTGTCGCCATTCCATGCCAAGGAGCGATCTGTATGCTGAGTGTCTCCGCTGCTTGGGCCAAACTCACGTGAGTGAACGCTGTAAGATCTGCAGGTCTTTCAAGCTGCGAACTAAGAAGGAGAGAGACATCAGGCTTCACGCTCTTCTCATGGAATCGGCATTCTCTCAACGCCGGTACGCTGTGCGGACTCGGCACCGGGCGCCGCATCGTCGGTGCGCAGCGAAACCCCCTCCACCAGTCGGCACCATTCCCCTTCCAAGAAACAAAGGAAGAGCTCGACTTCGCAGCGGTGCTGAAAGAAGGAAGGGGGAGAGGCTGGTCCCACGTTGGGCAGCCCTCTGTCCCCCCCGGGCTCGAAACCACCGACTTGTGCTAAGTGGAGTAGCCCGGCAGCGCTGACATGCGACTCTCCCATAGTCAGGATGCCATTGACGCCAGAGGCTCTACAGGCCGAACGTGACAGCCTGAGCTTGCCAGTGCCTGGGGCGCCGCCGGTGGTGGGCCCCCAGTCCTGAGGCAAACCAGCACTGGGCGCTCAACAGGACTCCCCAGCACGGCGCAGCTCTCACTCTGAAGACCGTTCTCTGCTTCGTTCGGTACGCAGCGACTGGTCTGCTCGCAGCTCGCGTCCACCACCCTTGACGCCAACCAGGGTTCCATCCGGGCAGGAGTCCCCGGGTCCCTCCACGCCACGAAGCAGCGGATGCAGGCACCGAGATAGGCGTTGAAGGTGCGCCTCTTCATGATGTAGCTATCGTAGCTGGTCTCTGTGCGACCGACGTTGATGCTCCTGGTCAAGCTCCCACTCTGTCAGCCGTCGTACGCGGGGCTCCTGCCGCGTGTCACCGACACCGCAGCTCCCGGCACCGAAGCGAGTCTCGGGACAGTACTTCCGGTGGGTACCGTTCCTTGACGTCAATGTCCCGGTCCCGTGGAAGAGAGCATCGTGGGCACCACTGCTCTCACCGCTCCTATGGTACCGTTCGGTCGGTGGTGACCTTGGCACCCAGCCCCCCCCCTCGCTGGGCTGTACTGCTCAGCCAGACCAGATAGTGGCACCGGGCCCGCAGCATGAACAGTGGCAAGGGGCCCCATGGAAGGGACAATGGTGTAAATGGGCACAGTGGCCACCAATGCCCACCCAGGTGGGGGACTCCCTTAGTGGCCAGGTCGTCCGAGGCCCTGTTGGCCTTGCTATCTAGGCAGAGGGACAAGTCAACAGGTTTTGAGTTGTCGGCTCCGCGCCTGGACTCCGACCTGAGGGTTGATCCCCTGGCACAGGCTGAGGCCTACAGCCCCATGCTAGCCTCCTCTCCTGAACCGGATGACACCATCACGGCACCGCTGCCCTCTGCTCCACAGGAAGACTTTAGGGCGCATCAAGACCTGCTAACGCGGGTGGCGTCGAGCCTCCAGCTGCAGGCCGAGGAGATGGAGGGCCTGTCTGATTCCCTCTTTAATGTACTGTCCCCCTCGGTGTCGGGCTGTGTGGCTTTACCCCTTCACCAAGGTGTAGCCAACTTCTCCAATGCCTTGTGGGTAACTCTTGCCCCTCTGGCACCAATTTCCAGGAAGGCTTAGAGGAAGTATTTTGTGCCAGCCAAGAACCATGAATACCTCTACTCTCACCTGGCACCCAACTCTCTGGTGGTGGAATCTGTGAACCACCAGGAGTGGAAGGGCCAGCCCGCGGCCACCCCCCAAGAATAAAGACGCCGGGAGACTAGACTCCTTTGGTAGAAAACTTTACTCCTCTTAGAGTTTCCAGCTCAGGGTGGCCACCATCAGGCCTTACTGAGCCATTATGATTTTAATTTATGGGAGTCCCTGCCAAAGTTCGAGCCACTCCTCCCAGAGCCGGATAGGAAGGACTTTAAGGCATTGGTGGACGAAGGGGCGATGGCAGCCAAAGCTGCCCTGCAGGCAGCGGCAGAGACGGCGGCTCGCTTGATGGCCTCCGCGATCTCCATGCGCAGGGCATCATGGCTCCTCCTGTCCAGGCTTTCGGCAGAGGCCCAGTCCCTCACGCAGGACCTGCCGTTCGACAGGAAGGCCCTGTTTGCCAAACAGACGGACGTCAGGCTGCACGGTATGAAAGACTCTCACACCACCCTGCAGACCTTGGGCCTGTACGTCCCTCCGGCTAAGGACAAGGCCAGACCGCAAACGTTGGCTCACTCTGCACAGAGCAGATATGAGCCCCTTACAAGAGGCCAAGAGAACCAAAAGTGCCGGCCTCAACGACAGTCCTGCTCTGCCCCATAGCCCGGGCCCTCTAAGGTCAAGAGGCAGGGGAAGAGGCGGTTTTGACTATTTGCAGGGGGGAACCAGGGTAGTTGCCATGGAAACCCCCTACTAATAAAGTTTGTGTTTAGCAACCGATTGTCTGCCTTCCATGGGGAGTGGTCACACATAACCTCGGACCGCTGGGTCCTCAGCACCATTTCCAAGGGCTACATGTTGCAGTTCAGTTCACCCCTGCCCAACCACCCCCCGATCCTGGTGGGCTTGGGGGACCCAGAGCACGTTCACCTCCTACGTCAGGAGGTGGAACAACTACTATGCCTGGGGGAGATGGAGAGAGTGCCAGTAGAATTCCAGGGCAGGGGCGTCTACTCCCTATATTTCCTGATCCCAAAGATGAAAGGAGGTCTCAGGCCCATCCTAGAACTGAGGAATCTCAATCGGTTTATGGTCCGCTCCAAGTTCCTCATGGTATCCCTGGCTTCTATTATCGCGGCCCTGGACCTTCAGGACGCATATTTCCACATCCATATTTTCAAAGGGCACAGGCGCTTCCTCAGTTTCCTGGTAGGGCCCGACCACTACCAGTTCACGGTTCTCCCATTTGGCTTATCCACGGTGCCCAGGCTGTTCACAAAGTGTATGGCGATGGTGGCAGCCTACCTCAGACGAGAGGGGGTCCAGATGTTCCCATATCTGGACGATTGGCTTCTCAAGGGCAACTCACTGTCTCAGGTGAGGGCCCGTGTGGATCTGCTCCTGTCTACATGCACCAATCTCGGTCTGTTTGTAAACGAGAACAAATCAACACTGGTCCCGGTGCAGCACATAGAATTCATAGGGGCACTACTGGACTCCTTATGGGCCACAGCCTTTCTCCCAGTGGCCAGCTTCGAAACCCTCAAAGGTCTCATCACCTCGGTCATGGCTTTTTTTGGTGACAACAGCAAAGGCGTGCCTTCAGATCCTGGGACACATGGCGGCATGCATGCATGTGGTCTGCCACGCCAGGTTCTGAATGAGGCCCCTCCAGCTATGGCTAGCCTCCCACTTCTCCCAGGCACGGGACGGCCTGGACAAGGCCCTCACGGTACCGACCCCAGTAATTGCCTCCCTACAATGGTGGTCCTCCCCGGGCAACATGCTCCAGGGGGCTCCTTTCCGGGAGACAGCCCTGTCAATAGACCTGGTGTCCAATGCGTCAGACTTGGGCTGGGGAGCCCACATAGGGAACATGCAAACCCAAGGGATGTGGTCAACCTTGGACATGTCCCTCCATATAAATGTCAGGGAGCTCAGGGCGATATGGTTGGCATGTGTGGCTTTCATCATGCAGCTTCACGGCAAGGTGGTCAGAGTCCTTACGGCAACACCGCTGTGATGTTCTACATCAACAGGCAAGGTGGGGCATTTCCCTGAGGGCTTTCCACCTACCGGGCGCCCACAATACACAGGCCGATTGCCTCAGCAGGGTTTTCTTCCCCCATTATGAGTGGTCGCTCCACTCAGAGGTCACTCACCGGCTCTTTCGAGAGTGGGGAATTCCCCACATGGACCTGTTTGCGACCCGCCAGAACTGGCATTGCCCCCAGTTTTGTTCTGGGAGGGCGGGGTGTGGCTTGGGAAGGGATGCGATCTCAGATGCCTTCCTCCTGCAGTGGTTGGACCAGCTTTTCTGTGCTTTTCCACCATTTC